GGTCAGCCAATCATTTTCACTTATACTCTGGAAATAAAATGGTGGAAATACTCTAATGAACTCTTCTATGTTGGATTGGTCAGTTAAAAATTAACATTAAAAAATCCTTCCCATTTTGCTAGCTTATATTTTGAAGTTTTATTGTCAAAATACTATCGTCTGTTTTACAGGGTCCAAGAGGTTTACAAGGTGAAACTGGTTATCCTGGACTTGATGGAGAAATGGTAGAGATGACTTGTTCAAACTTTTATGTTTATTTTTTACGATTTTTTTTCGTTTTTATAATTTAGGACCTAAAGCTTTGCTGGGAATTTGGTATGTCAGTTTATACATAGCTTAACAATTATCAACAGCAAGACTATCAAAACAACTTCGCTAGACTTAACCTATAATTCTGTAATAGATGAGAAAAAATTTTCAAAAACTTGTATTAACATGGGTTTTTTATGGTTTATAAAGTTTTTTTAGGTCTGTAATAATTGCAATATTTGTGTTAATATCTAAATTGTTGTGTATCTGTGTATAAGGATGAAATTTAAATGGATTTTGTCTAATATTTTTTTACTATTTAGGAAAATATTATAATATTTCTCTTTTACACTTAAATAATTCTTCTAAGGTTTAGAATAGTTATCAATACTAGAATTATTATATTTTAACAAAATATATATATAATTCATACTTTAACATTTTTTGGAAAAAATCTGTTTTATTATAATAATTTATCAAAGTATTCTGGTGATTACGATATAAACCTCTTATGCTATTAGAATAAGATTAGTTTATTTTTTTGCTGTAATATTCTATTAGACTTTTAAGCAAGTAACATTAATTTAATCAAATAGATATTGTTGTCGATAACAAAATGAAATTTTTGACAGTGTTTTTAGTTAACGAAAATTTGCTAAGTATAAGTTGAATATTATATTAATGTTGGGTTTCGGCAGACAGGATGTTTGTATTATTTCATATATATTTATTGTAGGTTTTATATATATGTGTATGTATCTTATCCCTGTCATTGTGTTGGTGTTATTGAGTATTTCTCTTCTAGTTATGTTTCTGTGAAGATGTCTGTCAAAGTTCTTTTTGGTTTTTTTTTTTTTGCAGATTTAACCAATAAAGGTGTACCGTGTGCTTCCCATAAGAACCTGTGTTAATCTCTCCCTGATGTTGTGTGTTGCTAGGTGGTGGGAACAAAACATAAGTTTTTATTTAACATACAAAGAACACAAACACAATAAAAACACATAAATATATTTAAATCTGAAACATTTATTCTCATGATTTGTCTTCTAAGTTATTAAAAAAATCCTTTTTCATCTAATTCTGTTTTTGTTACAGTTTCTCAGTCATTTTTCCAACATCTGTTAGTTTAATGTTTTACAGAAGTGTGGTCAATATATATCCTGAGTGTTAAAAAAACAGCTATTTTGATTCAAACATCATTAGTAATATGTGCCCTATATTTTTTATTTGCCACCAGGGTCCGCCAGGGTTGGATGGCATGAAGGTGAGCACAGCTCCCCCTAAAATTTTATTTACACACACACATACACACACACATATATATATATATATATATATTATTT